CCACATGCCTTGTGTTCAATATAAAACTCCAGGTGAGATTTGACCAATCTATCATATATTGATTTTGTTTCATATCCATTATTACCTTTTACATGCATTTGCACCAGTTTCCAAGATGACTGTGGATTCCCAAAACTCCTGCCAAGCAGCCCACTCTTCCATGCCATTCTCTTTCTTCACCCTTTGGCCTTTGCATAGCTGGTTGTTACCTGGAATGCCCTTTTCTCTACTCTTTACATGCCTAACTTCTCTGATTTGAGTTCCCAGGTGAAGGCCTTCCTTGATGACCCTTCATAAAGTAAGGTCTCCTTTGGTTTCATGGATCATTGATCCTTGTTTCCTTCAAGATGTTTATTACAGCCTGCAACTGGCTTATTTGTCTGATTTCCGTGTGGTTTAGTTTTGTCTTGCCATTATCTCCCATAAGAATAAGCAGTTCCTGAGGGAGGGACCAGCTCTGGTTTATCACTAAATCACCAATGTGTAGCATAGTGCCTGGGACACAGTAAGTTGTCAGTTAATATTGTTGAATGAATAAGTCTCTGGCTTCCTTGACTGGGACATGGCTCATTTATAATACTTCACTGTGTCTCAGCCTCTCTGCTTTCTGCCCTGACCCATCACCAGCCTTGTCACTCCTACAGTATTCCATTTCACCGTCATCCCCCACTCCTGCCCAGCTGGCCCTTCCAGATTTGGTCTCTCCCCTTAGGCTACACAATGAAGAATATCTGTTTGTCTTGGAGCTGTTTCTCTTGCTGCCTCAGTAATCAACTAGAGCTGTTAGCCTCAACTGATCTTTGCTGCCTCCATTTGTCAAAAACAAAAAAAAACACAAAAACCAGCCCAAACCATAGCTGCCTTGGGATCCTGCAACTAATTCTTGAGAACTGGCTCTAATTTTCAAATTTACAGAAGGCATAAAGTTGACAATGTGACTAATCCCATGGGAATAATATTACAATGAAATTGAAGCGAAGCCTGGTTCATCTCATCTGAAACATTATTTTCAATCTGGGCTCCACATTTTAAGTGGAAAAATATTGAAAAGCTTAAAACTGTCCAGAAGAGGATAAGTTTTTAAAATATCAGAAAGAGGGGCCGGCGCCGTGGCTCACTTGGCTAATCCTCTGCCTGCGGCGCCAGCATCCCATATGGGCACCAGGTTCTAGTCCCAGTTGCTCCTCTTCCAGTCCAGCTCTCTGCTGTGGCCCCGAAGGCAGTGGAGGATGGCCCAAGTGCTTAGGCCCTGTACCCGCATGGGAGACCAGGAGGAAGTACCTGGCTCCTAGCCAGCTCCGTAGCTCTGGCCGTGGCGGCCATCTGAGGGGTGAACCAAATGAAGGAAGACCTTTCTCTCTGTCTCTCCCTCTCACTGTCTATCTGTCAAATGAATTTAAAAAAATATATCAGAAAGAAACAAGGCTACATACACAGACTCTGAATCCAGATCAAAGGTGATATTTGGTAAATCAATTAACCTGCACCTTGATTTCCTCATCTGTGAAGTGGAGCTAGTAGTCTCTGCCTAACTCGTAGAATTACTGTGGTGGTTGTATGAGTTAATAGATGCAAAATACCTAAAATAACGTCAGGCACATATTAAGTATTAAGTGAATGTCTAATATTATTATATGAAAAGTGATTAAGAAACTGGTGCTTTTTATTTATCATTCCTCATTCCTGGCTACTTAGAGTGTGGTCCAGGAACCAGCAGTGTTGGCATTACCTAAGAGCTTATTAGCCAGGCAGTACCTTGGGCTCCATCCCTTGCCTACTGAGCCAGAGAAAGCACCACAGGAGCCAAGATGAGTTGCAGAGAGAGGCGTAGAAATATGTTGGTTCCACATAAGAACAAAAACTAAGTTTTTAATTATTCTTCCCACCTTCCTCATCCCCTTGCCCCATAATCTTCTCTCCAACTTTCTACCCCCACACACCGCTTTCTTTTATTATATACTTTGAAAGGGAAAGATTCAGCAACCAGAAAGCAGCAGCAACATGCAAGGAGTATGTGGGTTGCTGCCCCACAGTGTCCCACTTTAGGGAGCCCCAGACTGAAGCAACCAACAGGGCTGTCTTCCTTCACCCAGCAGAAAGTAGAGTCAAGGAACCAAAAGTAAGCTAAGGGAAGAGGGAATGGACGATCTTCTGCCAGACAGCAACAATACCAACTCCTCTTATTTCTCTAGCCCCTGAAAACAACTTCACACAAGGCAGAATCCCAACTGAGCTGCTAGACTGAGCCCTCAATGCAGTTCAATGGCATGTCCTCGCTCACACCGGCCCCACTGCACTGAAAGGAGGACTCACACGGACTAAAGGATGCAGACAAAGGAGGAGAAAAGACCCTCAGCCTGCCTGGTAGCCTCACATGGAAACAGCCAAAGAAACTGTGTTTGAGTCTTCCCCGTGAGACTTGTGAATGGAATCCTACCAACTCTACAGTCAAGTCTGGCTCAAAATGGCTCAGAATGTCTCCAGAGAAAACCTAGTTCTTGCCTCAAGAGGAAATGCAACGCCTAAGAGAAACACAAAGAAACTGGTAAGGGGACTGCAAAGATACGCCAGGACATGTGGAAGAAATGGGTGCTTGTTTGACCCCCACCTTGCAAGCAAAGCAGAGCTTATTTGAAGGGATCATATGAAGAGAGGTTTTGGCTGTAACAGGAATTCTGTGGAAAAGGCAAGACCATTAAAGAGGGAAAACAGCTTTATGTTGCTGATGAGATGCAGTAAAATGTCGTCATCAGTTTTCTAATATCATTTTCCTAACCAGAGTATAAGACATTAAGCACGGGCACTTCAAAAAGTTCATGGAAAACTGAATTCAAAGATAAGTTTATTCTGGTGCAAAACATTTTTGAAATCTGCATACAAAGGGTCTTCAAAAAGCTCATGAATATGAGTGTTATAAAAACAAATTATTCATGGATTTCAAAAAATTTTGTGCCAAAATAAACTTATCTTTTAATTCTATGTTTCCACAAACTGAAGTACCTTCATATGTCAGAGACAATGCCTTTTTATTTCCATTTCCCCAAACACAATGTAATAGAATGCACTGCATGCAGTCAAGTGCTCAGTAAATGCACTAATGAATTTCAGGAGATGCTGATCTCACTAGGACTTAAAGTGATTTGACAGTAATCAGATGATTAATGGCATTTGTATGCAGAAAGAATCTGGCGTTAAAGACCAGAATCTGCCAAAACCCTCATCTCCCTACTTAACCAGAAAGTTATGCAGGAAAGCAGTTAGGCAAGAAATGTTAGAAAAAAGCACTGGGAGAAGGCATTCAGTGCAGCGCTTAAGATGCACCTGGGTTCAAAATCCAAGCCCTGCTTCTGATTCCAGCTTTCTGCTAGGACACACCCTGGGAGGCAGCAGGCGACAGTCTAAGTACTTGGGTCCCTGCCACCCACACACATGGAAGACTCAGACTGAGTTCCAGGCTCCTGACTTCAACTTGGCCCAGTCCCAGCTGTTGCAAGCATTTGGGGAATGAACCACCACGTGAATGATATTCTCTCTCTCTCTCTCTTCCAAATGAAAGAAAAACGATTTAAAGAAATTTATCCTCAATTACTTGTTTCAGTTTCTTCATGTGAAAAATAAAGGTCATTGAGATCTGACTATTTGAAAACATTCTGTATCCACCAAGGTTCAGAGTCAAGTCACCCTCCGTTACAGCTCCTGACTGCATTTTAATACAGGTGGAATTACACAGAACTTCAGTGGCGCTAGCAAGAGGGCCCAATCTGGAACCAGTGGTGTAGCCATCCATTTGAACATAGCATCCAAGCAGCAAAGATCTCTTTCTGCTAGCTGAGGAATGAGATGAGTCATGGGAAAAGAAGGGCACTGGAATTGCTTGTTTCACTGCTCCCGAGACGCCAGCCAAGGCCTCCCTACTTGAAGGAGTACGAGGCTTGTGTTCTTCTAAACCTCATTACTAAGCCAAGGGTCAGGAACACGGGGCACATAGATTACTTATTGTCTAAAGACTGCACTGTGTCTTAATCATGGTTCAAAAAGAATGGGATAAGTTGATGATTCAGTGTCAGAAGAGCAGCAAAAAAAAAAAAAAATACGGGGCTAAATAAGATCTGGAATAGGCATTATGATACAGCGAGTTAAGCCACTGCTTAGGACTCCCACATAGGAGTGTCTAGGATAGAGTTCCACCTCTGCTTCCAGTCAAGCTTCCTGCTAACGCACCTTGGAGGCAGCAGGTGATGGCTGATGGCTCAAGTACTTGAGACTAGCAACGCACAAGGGAGATCCAGATGGAGTTTCTGGCTCCTGGCTTTGGCCTGACCCAGCCCTAGCTGTTGCAGAATCTGGGAAGTGAACTAATAGATGAAGATTCATTCTCTCTTTCCTTCTCTCTCTCTCTCTCTCTATGTTCCCCCATACAGCCCTCCCCTTGTTGCTCTGACTTTCAAATAAATAAATATTTTTTGAAAACGAAAGTTCTTATATCAGAAGTGGGTGGGAAGAAAAGAATTAAGAGGAAAAGAAAAATTTGTGTTCCAAATTCTCAGTGGTCTCATAAAGGATATGTGAGTATTTGCTGAGAGCAGTGGTTGAGAAGGCTGCAGCATACTTTGGGCTATATTAAGTAACAGAGTGAAAGGGAAAGAAAGGAAAACAGAATCTTCTCAAGAAGAAAATGAACCAAGCAATAGCAAAAGAATGTCTACAATACCCCTAAAGTAAGTTTATTTAGAATCCTCAGAAGCCCTTCATCCTTTGGGGAAGAACACTCTTCATCTAGACCCTTCTTGGTTTTCCATTTTCAGTGCTGAAACTTGGTGAAAGTTCAGTCAGAAGTACGGGATTGTGGTTATATTGTTAAATGTTTTGGAAGCATCAACTTGCCATCAAAAAACATAATAAATTTCAAAAAAAAATAAAGATTGAGTAAGATGGAATATAACATTTACAAATGGATTCATTTCTAATACAAATGGCCTCAAATGGAGAGTATTACTTACCACAGGAGAATTATTCAGATAATGAACATTGAGGCCAAAGATGATATAAGTCAATTTACTGGTAGTTCTTGAGGTTGTTTCTGAAAAAGAAAATTTAACAAATTTTCTATCTACAGTAAGGACAATTTACATATATTGGACATTATTAACCAGGCAACAGTTATCATCCTAATTTATGCCTTGATTCTTAACTTTTGCTTATTTATTTTAATATTTTATTTTTAATTATTAATTAGTTTTTAACAGATTCAATATAGTTCATAGACACAATTCTTTTTTTTTTTTTTTTGACAGGCAGAGTGGACAGTGAGAGAGAGAGACAGAGAGAAAGGTCTTCCTTTTGCCGTTGGTTCACCCTCCATTGGCCGCTGTGGCCGGCGCGCTGCAGCCGGTGCACCGCACTGATCCAAAGGCAGGAGCCAGGTGCTTTTCCTGGTCTCCCATGGGGTGCAGGGCCCAAGCACCTGGGCCATCCTCCACTGCACTCCCTGGCCACAGCAGAGGGCTGGCCTGGAAGAGGGGCAACCGGGACAGAATCCGGCGTCCCGACCGGGACTAGAACCTGGTGTGCCGGCGCCGCTAGGCGGAGGATTAGCCTAGTGCATAGACACAATTCTAAGAATATAATATTTCTTGGCCGGCGCTGCAGCTCAATAGGCTAATTCTCCGCCTGTGGCGGCGGCACACCGGGTTCTAGTCCCGGTTGGGGCGCCGGATGCTGTCCCAGTAGGCCCTCTTCCAGTCCAGCTCTCTGCCGTGGCCTGGGAAGGCAGTGGAGGATGGCCCAAGTCCTTGGGTCCTGCACCCACATGAGAGACCAGGAGAAGCACCTGGCTACTGGCTTCGGATCAGCGCAGTGCGCCAGCCGCAACGGCCACTGGGGGGTGAACCAACGGGAAAGGAAGACCTTTCTCTCTGTCTCTCTCTCTCAATGTCCACTCTGCCTGTCAAAAAAAAAAAGAAAAGAAAAGAAAGAAAGAAAGAAAGAGCATATAATATTTATTTCCTCCCTCCCTCTTTCTCCCTCTCCCTCTCCTCTTCACCTCCCACCTTCCCACCTGTCGTTCCTCCACGAAGACGGGGAGTGACATAATGGTGCCGTGACTCGGATATGAAGCCTAGGCAGGGTTTAGTGTCGTTCCTCCATGAAGAGGGGGAGCGACATAATGGTGCCGTGACTCGGATATGAAGCCTAGGCAGGGTTTAGTGTTGTTCCTCCACGAAGAGGGGGAGCGACACAATGGTGCCGTGACTCGGATATGAAGCCTAGGCAGGGTTTAGTGTCATTCCTCCACGAAGAGGGGGAGCGACATAATGGTGCCGTGACTCGGATATGAAGCCTAGGCAGGGTTTAGTGTTGTTCCTCCACGAAGAGGGGGAGCGACATAATGGTGCCGTGACTCGGATAGGAAACCTAGGAGGGAAGAAGCAGGAAAAAGTGGGAAAATACTGGAGAGAGAGACTAGAAGAGCCTAGGGAAATGCCGGATGGAAAAAGTGCCGGAAGAAGTTAGATTGAAAGTGAAAGTGAAAGCAAGAAGAAACAGATTCGGATGCGGACTATGGCGGGGAAGCTAGGAAATTGAAAGCAAAAGTGAAACCTAGAAGAAACTTAGACTCGGATACGGACTGTGGGGAGAAGCCAGGAGAAATGAGAGGGGAATATTGTTGGAAGAAAACTTAGGAAACATACCGGGTAGAGAAAAATGTTAGGGAGGATGAAGCCACGGGGGCAGGCTGAGGCGGAGACGTAAGCCAGGTTGGAATTCTTCAAGTCAGCCCGGGGAACAAAAGGCGAAAAGCTAAAACCAGAGGCGGAGACGTAAGCTATAGGTTGTATTTCGTCAGGTTAGCCCGGGGAACTTAGACTGAAAACTAAACCAACCGGTGGCGGAAACTTGAGCTAGGCTGCGTGATTCGCGGAAGCCGCCACGTGCAGAGAGCGTGCGGGGCACAAGCGGGGGAGTGCACGGGGCGCAAGTAGATAGGGAACGCGGGGCTGGTGCGAAGGCCGTGGTGCGGGTGCAAAGGGTGCGGAGACTGCGGAGCGCGCGAAGCCGGGAAGCCGCACAGAGCCGGGAAGCCGCCGCAGGGCGAGGCGCCGAGAAGCTGCCTCAGGGCGGGAGCCAGGAAGCCGCGGGGATAAGAGAAACAGAAGTTTAGAAGTAAAATGAGAGAAATAGGAATGCTGGCAGATAGAAGTAAAATAGGAGAAATAGGAATGCCCGGAGATAGAGAAATAGAGAAAAATAAGGCCTCCCCACAACATGGCAATGAGAGGGCTTGGATTCGGTCTGCCTGATTAGTAAGACGATAAGCACCTGCTGGCGGCTAGCAGCTTACCTGCTGCAGGTCACCGAAGACAGGCACGTTATCAACACCAATAAGTCTCCCCACAATACGGCAATGAGAAGGCTTGGATTCGGTTTGCCTGATTGGTAGGGCTTGTAAGCACCTGCAGGCAGTTCTAGCAGAGCAGAGCATGCGCTGCAGGGCACCGAACACAGGCACGCATCAGCGCCTAAAAACCTCCTCACAACATGGCGAAGAGAGGACCCGGATTCGGTTTGCCTGATTGGTAGGGCTTGTAAGCATCTGTGGGCAACTCCAGCAAGCAGAGCAGAGTGTGTGCCGCGGGGTACCGAAGACAGGCGTGAATCAACGCCAAAAAATAAAAAGAAAGGGGGATCTGTGGGGAGCAACTCGGACTAGACTGTTACTGGAATTAAGACTTATTCTATGCATCTGCTCTCCCACAATATGGCGCTGAGAAGAGAGTAACAACTTCCACGCAGCTGCCTCTCGCCAACTTGAGTGATGACCTGCAGGAGCTGATCCTGCTTCTGATTGGAGGAGAGCAGCGTACTCGGCGTGTGGGTAGCAGAGTTGGGATTGGTGGAAGAGGACTATAAAGGAGGAGGTGGAAGGGACAGTAGCCAACCTGGGAAGAACCAGCAGCAAACCTGGGGAGGGCCGAGAAGACAAAAGAACAGCGCAGGGTCCTGTGTCGTTCCTCCACGAAGACGGGGAGCGACATAATGGTGCCGTGACTCGGATATGAAGCCTAGGAGGCATAATGGTGCCGTGACTCGGATATGAAGCCTAGGCAGGGTTTAATGTCGTTCCTCCACGAAGAGGGGGAGCGACACCCACCTTCTCCCTTTATTTTTTTAGTTTCTGAGATAACATCTTTTAAATTTATTTTATAGTAAAAAGGCTAAATGCTTCACCAAATAAGATTTAATAAGTAAAAAGGCATTAGTTTAGTTGGAATATAAGAAATGGCTATAAACAATGAATGGAAAAAATTACCATATCACCTATATACAGTAAATTTTAAAGTAGTCACAGATCACTAAAACTATAGTAGTATAACATTCTGAAGCATTGGCTTGACAGGTATATATGGAGCTGGACAGAAGCCAGGAGCCAGCAGCAGCGTACCCCATGCTGGTGCAGGGGCCCAAGCACTTGGGCCATTTCTACTGCTTTCCTCGGCCATAGCTGTGGGAGGCAGGGCCCACCTCCCACAGCATGGCGCTGAGAGGGAGTAAACAAATTGTACACAGCTGCTTCATCAATTTGACTAAGAAGCTGTAGGAGCCGATCCTACCTCTTATTGGAAGAGAACGGCGTGCTCAGCACGTGGACAGCAGAGCACGGATTGGTGGGAGAGGACTATAAAGGGGGAAAGAGACGGCACGGTAGGGGTGTTGGTTGGAGAGCTGGTCAGAGAGCTCGCTGGGGAGTTCATTATTTCGTTCGTTCTTTCTTCTCTTGTGGTTGCTTTGCGGTAGAAAAAAACCTACTGAAAGGGAATAACAGCGTCCGGTCCTGTGCCGCTCCTCCGCGAGCAGAGGAGCGACAATAGCAGAGAGCTGGATTGGAAGAGCAGCTGGGACACTGGTGCCCATGTGGGATGTCAGTGCCATAAGAGGCAGCTTAGCCTACTATGCCACAGTGCCCAGCCCCTTTGTACAAATTCTTAAACTCTTGAATTCCACCAATTTCCATTCATTATCATTAAATTAGTATATTAAAACTTTGTGGAGACCTTCTGTATGGAACCTGTTTGTACAGCTAAATCTGCCACCCTTATTAGGGAGCCAACTCAAAAATATTTGTTTTTATGTTTATATTTCTGTTTACTCTTTCTCACTCTACACTTAAATGTTAGGGGATTTGTCCTTCTAACTTTAAATGAATCCTTGTATATATATATAAAAAAGCCTACTTTTTGCAAAAATGTATTTCAACACATGCAAATGAAAGTGACCTATTTTAATGAAGTAACAAAAGGTTTTCTTCTTACTTATATATGTAAGTTATAAAATAATGACTGAGAAGTAAAATTCAGAATATTTCTTTATGGAATATCAATGCTATGGAGGCCTTAGATTTTTTTAAATGAAAGTATTTACTTTTAGTGACACCACATTTCTGATAAACAGGATTCGACTGAAGTTTTACATTTTTTGAGCAAGACTAGTATTTCAAATTTCTTATATAGTCCTTTAAATTTGTCATGTGATACTGGAAACTCCAAAATCATTGCTACTAGGCCTACAGGCAATAATAGTAAATGACCAAAAAAAAAAAAGCTAAGAAATAATGTGATCTGTTTTTCAGTTAACTGAATATTGGATATTTTCAACATAATATTTTCTTTCTATAGAATAGGCAATAATTCTAACATATGAGGTATGTGCATATTCATAATACACTCATAGATAGCATATAATTATATACACACAGGCATTCTTATGTCACGAATGGTTTTTAAATTCAACCACAAAAACATTGCTCCTGTTTCTCTCAATTACAATAAAAAAAAATGTAAACCTTGATTTTAACTGTTCTCATCACAGAAAAATAAGTAAATGAGGTGACACATATGTTAATTAGCCTAACTGGATCATCCTTCAATGTACACACATATCAAAAAACCATATTTACCCAATAAATGTATATAATTATTATTTGTTAGTAAAAATAAAATTTTAAATTTAAAAATCTGTACCCTGAGAATACGAACTCTCAAAATCATGGTTAAAATAATCTTTACATATTACATAAAATCT